CTGTCAAAAAAACGAGGCCTATCCTAAGCGTAACAAATACTAGTGAAGAGGGTGTTAACAATAAAATTTCTCTTAAGAGCACATATGCTTATATGTATGCTATAATATGCATGAGCACAAGCTTATGTACCTCTGATATGCATGTAACGTATAGTAACTGCGAATGAAGTGAGTAATAACCATCAACCCTCCGAAGAGGAGAGTATGCATATAGATTGAATAGGTGAAAACTTGTTACCGGCACATTTATAATGTATACCGGTTCCATGTGAGACGCCCATGCACCCAGACCCAGGGATTTTCAACGAATTTCACAAGAAAACATATCTGTGCGGTGGGTTTATATTGCCTCGGAGACAGACAGTCTTCTTTCCAGAAGAATCAAAAATGGACTTCTATGAAGCTTTATCAACTTTATGGCTGGTACACCGCACTTTAAAGAAAAAAAAAACGATAATTGTCTAATTTGCTTATATTAGTTGTCTTAATCTTGACATTAGTGTTTTGGACTGTAATTAATCAGCCTCTTTTGAAATATGCAACATGTGGATTTTATTGCTAACCAACATCCAACCCGGATAATTGTCTACTGGATGAGTTTTTAGAAGGTGACGAATAAGATAACAATTAACAATACTAAACTGTAAAATTAAGGGATCGGACTGACCCGTTGATTAACTTCCATTACCCATTAGGGTATTCTTTAATATGAGCTTGCCATGTGTATGCTTTGTAATGATAGTGTGAATGGATCCATAAAAGCAAGTAGACTGACAACTTCCCATTTGAATCATCTTAAGAGACAGTCTATTCATGACACCTTCCTTAATGGAATAAAAAATTCAGATCTCTACTGGATAGGTCTGTTTATGAGATCAGCTTTTTTCATTGGTATGTTTGAAGAGATTACGACTTCAACTAATTTGAGAACGGAACTATAACTCTATGATACAATGACAGATAAGCTAGCTATTCTGAAGCGTTCTAGCCCAGCTAACTAGAGAGAGATAGAAGTTCAAGTTTAAAAGAGGGAAATATATTCTACAAACAGTCAGAAGTACGAAAAACCATGACAAGTCTAATCAGGAATACACTCATTTATATATTAATTCATACATATACTCTGTCTTGGACAACTCTTTCCAGCTGATTTCAGTTGTTATTCATCCTTTTCATATCTGATTCTATTTCCCGGCGTAATGTATTCTTCGACCTTAGTGTTTTCTGCTTCCCTTCAGGATTCCAAGTAAGTGCTTGCCTCATGATACAGTTAGGCGATTTCCGTAATATATGTCCTATCCACTTCCATCGTCGTTTCCTAATTTCCTCTTCAACTAGAAGCTGGTTCGTTCTCTCCCACAGAAGGCTGTCGCTGATGGTATCTTGCGTAGACAACTATTTATAAATACCTTTACCTTTTTGATGATGGTTGTAGTAGTCCTCGAAGTTTCGGCTCCATACAGTAGAACTGTCTTAATGTTCGTATTGAAGATTCTCATTTTGATATTTTTTGACAGTTGTTTTGATTTCTATATGTTCTTCCATTGAGGGAATATGGCCCTTGCTTTGCTAATCCTCGCCTTTACGTCTGCACCCGATCATCTTTGTTCATCGATGATGCTTCCCAGGTATGTGAAAGATTCCACATCTTCCAAAGTTTCGCCATTAATTCAAACAACAATAGAATATCATTACAAATAGTAGATTTCTTTCTGGTTAGCGTTTTTAAGCGAGTTAGTTTTCAACGGTATGGGGTCACTAACCCCATGCTCAACCCTCCTTCTTTATACGGGCTTGGGACCGGCAGTAGCCCCAGGTGGAGAATGCTGGTCGACAGCCTATGCTCCATTAGGAGTAACAAGTGTAAGTAAGTAAATGACAAATAGTAGATATTTAATTCTACGGTTTCAGTGATGGTCCAACATTGATCGATTCATGATCTCAATCCAAAACTTAACCATCTCCACTACTCCATATTGATATTTAGTTATATGTGATCACTGCATTTTTGAATTATATTCCTTGACTAAAAGAAAACATTGGTTTATTGTATTTTATATGGTCTCAATAAACTGAATATTTTGTATGTTTCTTATCTTTTGGCTCCCTCCAGCACTAATAATCTCCGAGGTCATAGCAAGAAGGTTCATAAACCACGATCTAATAAACTCAGGGTGGGGTTCTGTTTTTCTCATCGAGTAGTCAATGATTGGAACGTTTTGCCCGAACAAATGGTATCAGCCCCATCAGTGAATATTTTCAAGGAGAAACTGAACCTTCACTGGAAGGCAACCTGTTAGGATTAACACAGGTTCACTAACCTACTATCCTTATTACTGAAGACCGTCATTCCTTACTATGATATAATAGTTTGAACAGATTTTATCCTAATATCATGGATGAGTAATCCTGTGTAGAAATAGTGTTGAAAAACAGAAACACATAGAATATATTGTGCAAGTGAATAGTAACTTTTCAGTGCTTGTAGTCACTAACTTCTGGTCTGAGCCATGTTGGAAGATTCAGACTGCCTGGTTGGGGTCCGCGTGACTATCGTAACCAATGGTTGGAGACTCTTGGTGACATGGCTCAGAATCGATCACAATGGCGTCAGTGTATACACTCTCTGTCTTCCTTTAAACTAAGAGATTAAAATCGCTTCATATGTTTCTTTCTACGTACTAATTCTTTCTTCCTGTACTATCTTCTTATATGCACTGTTTTTTATATATTACCACCACTGAATTAACTACTTCTATGAATCCGGTGTTCATCTTGTTGTGCTAATGCGGTATGGCAACTTGGATCGATGCATATACGTGCCTGGTCCTACGTTGCAGCTGACTGAACTTTTCAAAATTACATAGTGTCACTTGGTGTTGAATCTATAGAGTTGTGATGGCTATCAGGACTCAGAAGCTAAATGGATAACACAATGACGTTTGAAGTGAATGGTGCTGGGTTTGAGTCCTGGAGTGAATATCAACTCTAGGTTGAAGGTTTATCTAGTTGACGAGTCTCAAATAGGAAGAAAGGCGCGTCTCAGATTTCACTACTAGCCATCATCAATCTTTGCTCAGAATGTTTATGACTCAAGACAATATCGAGGTAATGCACGTAGGATGTACATATGCCAATAAGAGACTGATCAATCGCAGACCTAAACATCATTGGGAAGATTCAAAGAACCAACACAAAAACGAAGTATTATGCTGTTTGAAAATTTATAAACTTGATCTTCAACAAAATAGGTATTTTAATAAGTTAAAATGGGTTACTAGCCAGTGGTTCAGAAGTTGAATATTTATTTTAAAATTTTGGTAGTGAATATCACTGACCAACGGTGGATAAACACAAGTTGAAAATTAGAAACCACTGAACAACAGTTTCATTCTAGTATGAGGTTTCTCAATGGTGTCTATCAACAATTGAGTGGCCGGAAGTTTAAGAGATCGCCTCGAGCCCTGAAGGTTTTCGGTTCGATCACATGCGGTGAATGATGAGTAATTCTCGAATTGGGACAAAACAACTGTTGATTACTTCTTAGTGTTCAATGGTTGTCTACCCAATCTCAGGACATTAAGTAAATTATGAAATTCAACAATCCCTCTAAAAAACTTTTATAGTAATTAAAGCTATTAGGAAACTCTTTTTATGAGAGATATCTAATGTTTGGCATACAGATGGAACCATAGATTTCAGTTTTCGAAGAGAAATAACGATGTTAAGAATCAATAAAACGGACACTGAAGTTGAAATCTGATCTTTATTTCCCGGAGTAATGTGTTGTTCATTGGTCTTCAACTCCTCTTTCGGCCTTGAGGATTCCGTGTGAGAGATTGTCTTGTGATACAGTTCGGTGCTTTCCTCAATGTATGTCTTATCCACTTCCAGTAGTTTTTGATGCTTTCTTCCTCCGCTGGAGTCTGATTTGTTCTCTCCCACAGTTACTTACTTACTTACTTACGCCTGTTACTCCCAATGGAGCATAGGCCGCCGACCAGCATTCTCCAACCCACTCTGTCCTGGGCCTTCTTTTCTAGTTCCATCCAATTCTTGTTCATTTTTCTCATATCTATCTCCATTTCCCGGCGTAATGTATTCTCTCCCACAGTAGGTTTTGCTAATAGTGTCTGGCCAACGGATCTGAAGTATTTTCCGTAAACAGTTGTTAATAACCACTTATATCTTTTGAATGATAGCTTTCGTAGTTCTCTAAGTTTCCGCCCCATAGAATAGAACAGTCTTGATATTGATATTGAAAATTCTGACATTGATGTTGGTTGATAGACAGTTTTTTTTTAAGTTCCAGATATTCTTCAGTTGTAAATATTCTGCTCTCGCTTTGAAGATCTGTACCTTCACATCTACATCAGATCCACTGTGTTCATCAAGGATGCTGCCCAAATATGTAACGGTTTTTATATCTTCCAAATCTTCTTCGTCAATTGTGATTAGATTGTTGCCTACAGTATTGTATCGGAGAATTTTGCTTTTCCCTTTTATATATATTGAGACTTACTGTTACTGAGGTTGCTACTACACCTATTCCTCATTAAATGAAACAATCTTCAATGGAAATATTTTACTAATCATTTTTATATTTCTTACATTTTGATTGGTCAATCCAAATCACATATGTTGATTGGTTAATATAGATAAGCGCACAAATAATTTGCCACGTGTTATTTTCAAATCATTTTGAATAACCAATGAAATTGCAAGATTTTGTCTATCATAGCATTGACACGAGTCTTTTTATTAAATTCTCCCTTAAGAGAAAAATGTGACAATTTAAGGGTGGAGGATGGGGGTGGAGGTGAGGGTGAGGGTGAGGGTAAGGGTGGAGAGGTTAGTTCAATTATAGTATAAATAAGGAAACTTACTTCAAATTGATTAGGTCCCTGAATTTGCTTTTGACGCGAATTGTATTTCAAATAATATCCAGCTGATATTGATTGTGAATATTGTCCATATTCTATTTTTATTTTATATATCTAATGTCTGAAAATCAACAACAAATTGGTAATAATAAAAGATATGCCCAGTTACAATCTGATGAGAATATCAATGTAGAAAATCAAAAATTACGTAAACCATTAGGAAATTTATCAAATATATATAGAACAATAGAAACTGAATATTCCATTAAACGTCATAGATCATTTAATAAAAAATTGAAAACATGTTCTGCCACAACAACAACAACAACAACAACAAGAACAAGAACAACGACAAGAACACCATCGTCATCATCATCATTATCATCATTATCATTATCTTATGGAAATACAGATTCAATGAATATAATTCGACGTAATGAAAGAGAAAGAAATCGTGTAAAATTATTAAATATGGGATTTGATCGTCTTCGAGCTGTAGTACCATGTCGTACAGGTGAACAATTAAGTAAAATATCAACATTAAAAAAAGCAATATGGTATATTGAACATTTAGATAAAGTATTACATGGACAAGAAAATTCATATTCTCATTTCAATAATCAATCAATATCTTCATCACAAATGAATCCATTAATTGATGATATTGGTGAAAGTATAAATAATAAAATTAAACAAATTGATTCATTTATATCATCATCATCATCATCATCATCATCATCATCATCATCATCATCATCATCATCATCATTATGTAAATCAGCTGGACTATTTGAAATCAATCGCAATGAAGCAAAATCAGGGACCTCCTGGTCATCTTTCGAGAAAGTTATGTCACCCTATGGAAACATATCTATTCAAGAAAGAAGATCAGTAAATCAATTATATCTGTCACCGATATTTCCGACTCATTGGGGTCAAAACATTAATACTAATAGTAATACTACTACTACTACTACTAATCATAATAATAATCACAATGATATTAAGGAAATAACATCGACACCAATAATTGACTCAACTTCATACAATATCATAAATCCTATTAGACAAGACCATAAAACTGTACCACATTCATTATCTAATTCTAATTCATCATTTATTGATTATTCAAATGATTCCGGTTATGATAGTTCTAAAAATCAATTTGAATTATTATCAAAAATCAATAATCAATATTCATTACCATCATGGTATCATATTGGTTATATGCCAACAACACCAATTTCATCAATATCTAATTCATTAAATAATCAATCCACTTTAAATGTATACAATAATATTTCTAATCTTCAATAGTTATTAAATGATGAATATTATATGCATAAACTAAATGGAACATCAATATAAAGTTTATTTATATTTAATAAAAGGTAAGTTTATTGATTTTTTCCCCTTACATTACCACTTAGTTACAAAAATTAGGGGGTGTTATTGTTGTTTTTTTGGAATTTTATATACATAGCTCCCTTTGTCATCTTGACAAGAGAGATTGAGGGGGGACCAAGCACATCTATTTTTTATTCACCCTCCCCCCTCCCTATATTAATGTCTTAAAAATGGAACTGTGGATTATTGTTCATATGTTGGTCACGTGTCAACCACTTATGAGAATTTATATAGTAAATGAACAATGGTTATGGCATAGGATATTGTAGACATTATAGAATTACTATGGTTTTTGGAATCACCAACGAAAATTTGTAAGATGTGACTAGTACAGTTCAATGAAGTACTACATGAGACAGGTACTTACAAATGGTTAAATGAGTACATTGGTCTTGATTCCAAGTATTTGATCACGAAACTTAAGGTTCTGGGTTTAGTTCCCAGATGCCAGGTCATGGATTTACATTGCTGAGGAGTCACATACTAGGATGAGATGGTCGTTTACGTTTTCAATGATAGTCTAACTAACATTATCAACATGTTGTTATATTTTCTCAGTTGAAATCATCAGTCGATCTAAGTTAGACCATCATTATTGATTTAATAGATTATTTATAACTTCAGCAAGTTAACTGACATTCTATCACCATTTAAATATAAAGAAAAATGGTCATTGTATACTGGTGGTAAACTTGAATTACGTAACACACAGACAAAATTTAAAGCAGACGGATGATAATGCGGGCACTATTATTATTATTATTATTATATCCATCTTGTCTTAACATTAAGTTGATAAATTCGATTACCATCTGTGATTTAAACCCAATATTAAGTTATCTGAATTCTGATTGACAATATTGATATATACAGACAATTAATCGGAACAATCATATAATAGTCTAGTTGGATATGTAGTTAAACATCGAATACAAGATGTATAATTCATTCTATTACTGATCGATCAGTTGAATATACGCAGTACCTTTAGTTTCAAACGGCTTCAAGATGGATTTCTTGGAGTTCCAGTTAGAAGCCATGACCAGTAAGGTCACAATTATTCACCTCAGGTAATAGATCCACAGTTGAGCAAGATCATAGATTGATTGATATTAGACATTAACACCGTTGAATGCTGACTTAGTGGTCTACTGGTTAAGAGTCTGCATATGAGACCTAATGTTCTGAGTTCGAGTCCTATGTGTGAGATTGTATGTTCTCACCACTGATGAGTGTCACACTGAGACCAAATGAGCATCCAGTGAGTCATTGTTTCCAATATTGATCTAGCTTTGATTGATTCATGTAATCTATTGTGAAAATAAGTCATTGTAGAATCAGTTAGGCACCACACGAGTTTACAGCATCGTTTCAATAATAGAATATCATGAATCATTTTGTATATTTTGTTTACTCATTATTCTGTTATTGTCTTTATTTTTTTAATTTTAATACAGGTATTAGCATAAATCTAATGGGTTCATCTTACAATAATTGGGTTAACAACTAAAATAATGATTAACCTTATAGTACAACAACAACAACAACAACAACAACAACGACAACGACTCATTCAAAGAAACACTAACACAATCAATGACCACGAATGATTAGATTCATATTACTGGGTTATGAACAAATAAGAACTAACCGAAAATGAAGTTATACATGATGATCACCTTCCTTCCCTACCCTTCTCCCTCCCCCTCTAAGTAGTTTTGTATTCTTATTATCAAAATAGTTTAATTATTTAAGAAATATTAAAAAAATAAACAAACAAACAAATTAGCAAATCGTTTCCATGGTACATACAAAATAGAATTTTGTTTTGTTTGTTTGTTTGTTTTAAGAAGAACTCAATTAGATTCAGTAGATTTTTCAATTTTTTTTTATTTTTTAAAAATAAAAGAAAAAAAAAAAAAAAAAAATCAATAAAATTTTTTTATTTTTACAAATGGTACATTTTTCTTTTAAACATTTTTCTCTTAATTTTTTCCTCACTCTTTATTTTTGTTTAGTTTTATTTTAAATTATTCCAATTAGATTTTCTCTCTAATTTTGCTTCTTTTCTTTTTTAAAAAAATAAAAACATAATAAAATAATACACTTGAAAACAATATGAATTAATTAACTGGGAGGGTGGAGATGGATAAAATGGGGGGAGGGGTGGATGGGGGGGGGGAAGAGGAATGACCTGTTTAAAACGATAAGAATTTATTATGTAAATTTTGTTAATACATTTGAAATAAATGAAATAATACAATTGTGAATTTTAAATTTCAATAGTTGAAATCATGAATCCATTGAAGTTAGACCACCATGGAGAACATGAAAGCATTGGATGGCCGTTTCGTCCTAGTATGGTATGGGACTCCTCAGCAGTGCGCATCCAAGATCCTGCCCCTCCCATGAGATTCGGACTCAGGATATATTAGTCTCGCGCCATGCGCTTAACCAACTAGATTACTGAGCTTGAATCCAACGGTGTTAATGTCTAACTTCAACCAATCCACGAAGTTATGCCATTGTTACTATTGTCTTCAGTGAGCCGATATCTCACAACAGATCTGGTATGATGTCGAAGATAATAAGTTGTTATATAATTGGTAGTCAATAATATTACCGACTTAGTTAGGTCAGTTACTCTTCGTGAAAGAGAATAGGCCTCTCATCAGGATTACGAGTTCAACTAATTTGAGAACGGAATAAAAACTCTATGACATAATAACAGATAAGCTAGTTATGCTTACGCGTCTCAGTCCAGCTAACTAGAGAGAGAGAGAGAAGTTCAAGTTTAAAAGAGGGAAATATATTCTACAAACAGTCAGAAGTACGAACAACCATGACAAGTCTAATCAGGAATACACTCATTTATATATTAATTCATACATATACTCTGTCTTGAACAATTCTTTCCAGTGGATTTCAGTTGATATTCATCCTTTTCATGTTTGTTTATAATTCCAGACGTAGTATGTTCTTTCGCTTCCCTCTTTTGTATTTCCCTTCAGGATTCTAAGTAAGCAGTTGCCTCGTGATGTAGTTTGATGATTTCCGAAATATATGTCGTATCCATTTCCAACGTGTTTTCCTAGTTTCCTCTTTAGTTGGAAGCTGGTTTGTTCTCTTACACAGTAGGCTGTTGTTAAGTAATGAATGATGGATGTTACTAATAACTCGTGAAAGAATTCGAATCAAGACATTATTTTATGTAAATCATGTACACTTCCTTACTTACGCCTGTACTCCTCTTCAGAGGACCCTAACCCTATTTTCCGCTTCCCTTCAGGATTCCAAGTTAGTGCTTGTCTTGTGATGCAGTTTGGTGACTTCCGTAATGTATGTCCTATCCATTTCCATCGTCGTTTCCTAATTTCCTCTTCAACTAGAAACTTGTTCGTTCTCACCTACAGTAGGTTGTTGATGATGGTATCCAGTCAATAGATGTTGAGTATCTTGCGTAGACAGCTATATATAAATACTTGTACCTTCTTGATGATGAAGCATATTGAGATGAAATATTCAATAAACAATCCATCAGAAACGCATATCCTTATTCATCATAAATCTTGTGTACTTCCCATCGATTACTAATGATTTTCAAAACGATGATCAATCCAATATGAAGGATGCTACCAAACGGATTCATTAGATTTCTTGTCATACTATCTCAATTCTAATAGTAAGTAATTGACAACTTGTAAGACAATAGAATAATTATTAGGGGGAACTTTAGGAATTAAGATCTATTACAAGTAATACTAGGTTCAATATGAATGATCAAGATCTAAATAATTTATGAAAGGATCAATCAGGTATAAGATAACAGGTCTCGAATTTTGACGCGAAATTCATTCATTCATTCGGATAAATAGAGTTTTATCATTATAGCTGATGTCAGTTCGTGATGACCCCCCCATCAAAAATATCTAATTCCTAACCTTAACCATCAAACTGTGAATCATAATTCTAATTCCTCATATAGTGGTTTATCACCCTCATTTGGTTCTAGTTATGAGGTGGAGACTCTTAAGGTCAGTCTAGCATCTCTGAAAGATCGTCCACGATTACGATAATCATCATATGGTCATTAGTGACTAATTTCAAGAGGAAATTTCCAAAGTTCTAGTTAGAAGTTATAGCCAGTGAAGTTTGAACGTATTGAATGTGAAGGAGTTGTTCACTGAAGATGTTGTAAAATATTCATACACTATTATAAGTGAACTAGAGTTAAGTATGTACAACCGTGGATCTCAGATCAATGATCTTGAGGTTATGTGCTAATTTACGAAACCAGAAATGTTGGGTTCAACCCCTTTGTGGTGAGATATTCAATGCTCACGATTGAAATTTCTCAGATTAAGACGAAATCGCTGTCTAGCATTTCCTGCTTTCTTGTTGTTAATATCTAGAACTGCGTTTGATCAATCTCTGTTTTCATATTTGCATTCTGGTGGTGGTGGTGGTGGTGGTGGTGGTGGTGGTGGGGGCTTAATACAATGTTATATCACAAGTTTTACGATGAAGGATTGAATGTTTGAAGAAGAAAGCGGTAAGCCCGATTCTCATTGTAGACATTGACAATATAATGTACATATATTCAACTGATAACTTTTAAATAGAAGGAATTACGCATCTTGGATCCGATTACTAATCATATACCAAATATACTAACATTTGATTTAGTTTTAATACATATCTCTTGATAAACTCACAGCTTATCAACCTAATTTGCCCGTTTAGATCTCATTATCTTTCTAAGCATGATCTGTATTGAAACAAGTGGATATGATTAACTGTCTAGACTACAACATTTTTATCAGAAGGGGTTTTGTGGAGATTGTAGTAATTTCATTGATTAAGATCATGAGTCAGTTGAAGCTAGACCATAACCATGGAAAACCTGGAAG